CGAGATGAAAAGTAGCAGCCCTATGGACGCGAAACAGTAGATTCCATGAAGATAATAAACATGTAACACAAATGCTGTGTCCAGGGCTGGGAATGGTTAACGGTTACGATTTATTTTAACCGTTAACTGACATCTTAGGTACAAATCATCTTCATACCGCACGATTTCTTCAAATATGATTACGTTATCGCGAATTTATCTCTTATGGCATTTAATTCAAAAGAATATTACTAACTGTATGGGCAAGGACTCAATAAATGTAAAAATTATGGAAGTACCAAGATTGCTGATTATGGAAATTTGACAATGATGAATTCAGAATCAGTTTTCGGTCGATCTCGAAATATATTATTCACGATTTCATTGCAAAATCGGATATTCAATGTCATACCACAAGTTCGCAGTTGATGCCGTTTTTATTTATATGATATACATCTCGAAGTAAAATTTGCACATCGAACACCGATAATTTGTCACATAAATGACGTTTAACAAGGAAATCAGGTTTTCTAAAATACTTTCACACGCCCGAACCACGCTGCCTATCTATTGCAGCAGAGCAATCATGAAACTATCTCGATTCGTGAATAATTTTAATAAGCGATACCGGGGACGAGGACACGCGAAATTGATTTATAAGCATCGTGACGTAACAAGCTGAAATTATTACGCCAAACGTCACGCGTCGGTTAACCGGTTAAAGTGTTTTCCCCGAAATTCCCAGCCCTAGCTGTGTCCCGATTGCGCATGTATTTCCAAGCCCTTCATCAGTGAATTTTTTTTTGGTAAATGTACGTATTTATGAAAATAGTAGCTGGACTGACCTGTGTGAATTGTAGGACAGTTTTATAGGGCGATAAGGGCTCGCCCTGTGTTATCCCTTTTCAAAACAAAAAAAAAATTTTTTTTTGAATTTTTTTTTTTTGAGGTCTGTCCACCCCACCCCCATTTTTGGGCACTGGACCACTTGGCCATAGATGTACCAGCGTTGCCCGTCATCATGCCTTTTTCAAATATTGTGTTCTCAAGAATTTGTGTTTTAGTCCTTTTTCGATAATAAAAACCTTGCTACCTCTTAGTGGCGCACTGGTTCGACCACCCTGGACTGGGCCAGTGGTATATAAGCCCTGGGCAGGGCCGGAAAAAGGTATTGGAGTATTTGGTTGTATTAAGGTAAGTTTCTGAGCCGTGGCTCAAATTTATGGCTAGGACAGTAGTGGGGTGGTCGGGACTCGCCCTGCGATATGTCAATTTACAAAAAAAAATTTTTTTTTTTTTTTTTTTTTAAGTCTGTCTGTCCACTCCTCCTCTCCCAATTTCGGGCATTTGACACGTCCCGTCCGCTTGGTCATGATAGATAAACCACCGCCCGCCATCATGCTTTTCTGAAATATCGCACTGCGAGGTGTCCTTAGCCGTTTCTGCGCCTGTTTGCCCCGCAATCCTGCCAAAACTACGAATCTGATCTAAATCGGACGCGATGTGAAACGTCTGTGACGTCATAACAATGCCTCGTTTGGAATTTGAGCGAAAATATTCTATGGCCCAGAGCATTAGGATACGCTGCTAATGCAGCGAATAAATTCGTTGAAGCTCATCATCGATATGTGAAGATAAAACTTACGAGATGAAAAGTAGCAGCCCTATGGACGCGAAACAGTAGATTCCATGAAGATAATAAACATGTAACACAAATGCTGTGTCCAGGGCTGGGAATGGTTAACGGTTACGATTTATTTTAACCGTTAACTGACATCTTAGGTACAAATCATCTTCATACCGCACGATTTCTTCAAATATGATTACGTTATCGCGAATTTATCTCTTATGGCATTTAATTCAAAAGAATATTACTAACTGTATGGGCAAGGACTCAATAAATGTAAAAATTATGGAAGTACCAAGATTGCTGATTATGGAAATTTGACAATGATGAATTCAGAATCAGTTTTCGGTCGATCTCGAAATATATTATTCACGATTTCATTGCAAAATCGGATATTCAATGTCATACCACAAGTTCGCAGTTGATGCCGTTTTTATTTATATGATATACATCTCGAAGTAAAATTTGCACATCGAACACCGATAATTTGTCACATAAATGACGTTTAACAAGGAAATCAGGTTTTCTAAAATACTTTCACACGCCCGAACCACGCTGCCTATCTATTGCAGCAGAGCAATCATGAAACTATCTCGATTCGTGAATAATTTTAATAAGCGATACCGGGGACGAGGACACGCGAAATTGATTTATAAGCATCGTGACGTAACAAGCTGAAATTATTACGCCAAACGTCACGCGTCGGTTAACCGGTTAAAGTGTTTTCCCCGAAATTCCCAGCCCTAGCTGTGTCCCGATTGCGCATGTATTTCCAAGCCCTTCATCAGTGAATTTTTTTTTGGTAAATGTACGTATTTATGAAAATAGTAGCTGGACTGACCTGTGTGAATTGTAGGACAGTTTTATAGGGCGATAAGGGCTCGCCCTGTGTTATCCCTTTTCAAAACAAAAAAAAAATTTTTTTTTGAATTTTTTTTTTTTGAGGTCTGTCCACCCCACCCCCATTTTTGGGCACTGGACCACTTGGCCATAGATGTACCAGCGTTGCCCGTCATCATGCCTTTTTCAAATATTGTGTTCTCAAGAATTTGTGTTTTAGTCCTTTTTCGATAATAAAAACCTTGCTACCTCTTAGTGGCGCACTGGTTCGACCACCCTGGACTGGGCCAGTGGTATATAAGCCCTGGGCAGGGCCGGAAAAAGGTATTGGAGTATTTGGTTGTATTAAGTTATAACTAAATTGTGGCATTGCCAGCCCGCTCCAATTCTTGGTGTATTGGGAGTGGCCTCTCCTTCTTGGAATTTCTTGAGGCCCTCCCGGCGTTTCCGTAGCGTATCTTTTATACGTATACGTTTGATCGTTACCGCTGTGGTTTTTGTCCTCACTTTGTGTTGTATTGTTTGACTTCTATAGTCTTGGGATTTTATTGCTTTTGAACTACCATAAATGGTAGTTTAAACAGTTAGTTCTTTTCATATAATAACCTCCTCTTGTAACAGCAAGTAGTTTTCTTCAAAGCCTCTCGTCACTGACTCGCGTCAGAGTTGTTTTCATCGGCAGACAGTTTCCTGTTGTAACATCCGCCATGACTACGACACAGCCTTCAACATCAAGGCCTCTTTTCTCAAGCGTCGCTGCCTCAGTACCAAAGGTAGCCGATGTGAGATGTGTGGAAGTCAGCAGAGGCGAGTCGATCGATGTCATTACAACTAAAGACATCTCGACCGTCTTGGAATTTTTTAATTTATTTAACACCGTGGATAAACTACGTCCTTATAGAACCCTAGTCGGAGGAATTTTTGCAATCCGCCAGGGTGTTTGGAATTTGTCTTTCCAACCTACTGACGGCCGACCAACACGGGATCAATTTCTTGACTGTGTTGGTAGCAAACTGGACACCCCGTTAGGTGTTCTTAATTTTTCTCTGCCCCGTGGTCCAGGGACCCGCATTAGTTTGCGTGGTATTCCCACTGAAGCCACAGTCGAGCAACTAACAACAATGCTCAACTCTTTTAACTGTGGCAAGGTGAGGCGTGTTTTCAAAATATATCTACGTAATAGCAAGGTGTATAATGGCAACGTACAAGCCATCATTGACGACTTCGAGAAGTCCAACTTTCCCGATTTCGTCAATGTTGGTGGACTACGTTGCAAAACATACTTACCTTCCGAACTCTATACCAAGTCCTGCTTGAATTGTTTTCAGGCAGGTCATCTGGCTAGAGAGTGTGTAATGCCTCCGACCTGCCGTCTTTGCAAAAAATCCGGCCATGTGCAGCGAGAGTGCACTGACTTCCCTGCAATAACAACAGCAGTGGAACGAAGTAGCCAGCCTCCTGCCAAGGTTGTTGCAAAGACGGCTGGTAGATACAGTTTTACCAAATCAACATCTGTGGCTGTATCATCACAGGATCAGCTGAAAAATAAAAATAGAATAAAGGAAAAATCTGATGCTGCTGCTGATAAATCTAAGTCTCTCGGCCGGGTTAGGGTGGACATACACCCTATTCCGGCTGAAGCTCGTGTTTTTTCGGATTCCTTAGAATCTGAAAAGCCGAACTTGGAAGGTGAATCAGAGGCAGTTGCAGGGTGTAGTAAAATACCTAATTTAGGTAGAGACCCGAAAGATCTTGATGAAAACCGTGGAAAAATCGTAGAACTCGATAGCCCTCTGGGAGAAGACTATCATATTATAGCCCGACTCTCAGAGGGTTCGGATGAAGAACTTGCGAAGTTTCGAAAGAAACTTCGCAGTCATAAGAAGATCAAGGAACCGGGTCCAGAATGGCAGTGTTCCGACATCGAAAATAGTCCTGCTACAAGAGATGAAAAAAGAGGTCGGGGGAGCTCTTCATCGGACGCCTCCATAGTTCTCCCACCTAATAAATCTCTGATTATTTCCAAACCACGAGTTGTTAAAAAACTATGAAAGTAATTATTTGATTGGCTTCAATTTCTTTTTCTATAATTGATTGGAAAATATGTATGATTCTCACTCTTTTGTGGCAGTATTGTGTTCTAGAAATGTATAGGACTCTTTATATTATCCTTTGCAATAATTTAATACCAACTACTAAGTACCTTCCCTCAGTAAATTATGTAATATTAATTTCCTCCGAACTGGTATTTTTTTTTCTCTCTCTATATGCCAACTCGTATCTATGGATCAACATGAAAGATGACAAGGCAGCAGCAAGTGCCAACAAAACATGAAACGGTGGAAAGAAGGACTGGGAGCCTCTAGTGCTCATTAACAGCCTAACCTAAAACAATAACTTCGCTGTAAACATGTAACAACTGAACTACCTTCATAACGATCTATAACCTGCTCTAGTTAATTATTTAATTGTCAACCATAGGCACTAAATCTGCCTATATATAATAAATATAACAACCTATATTTGTAGTAATATACTAGAACGAATAGCTAAATAAACGCCATATACACCAGAATACTGGCTCTCTTATATTTTTGGTGAAGGTTTCTTCGTTTATCTCTTATTTATAATTTATTCTTTTTATGTTTTTTTTTAACTTCTTTGTCTTTCCGTAAACTGACTCTCTACTCTTTTTCTGTTATACCTCCTAAATTTCTTTTCTATTAGAGGAGACGGACATCACGTGACAGGGAGAGTTGATATGAGTGTGCACCAAGGTGCATTTCTCCCAACTCTCTTCTGTCACGGAAGTGTTCGTCGAATCTACCCTCTGTTTTCTCCTGGTGTTATTATTTTGCCTTCTTATAGGTATTTACAGGTAACAACATCTACAAGCCTCCCCTGCAATACGTGAGTATAAAAACAAGGTGAGTATCGGTGGGTCGAGGCCTACTTTCAAAAAAAAAAAAAAAAAAAAAAAAAAAAAAAAAAAAAAAAAGTAAGTTTCTGAGCCGTGGCTCAAATTTATGGCTAGGACAGTAGTGGGGTGGTCGGGACTCGCCCTGCGATATGTCAATTTACAAAAAAAAATTTTTTTTTTTTTTTTTTTTTAAGTCTGTCTGTCCACTCCTCTTCTCCCAATTTCGGGCATTTGACACGTCCCGTCCGCTTGGTCATGATAGATAAACCACCGCCCGCCATCATGTTTTTCTGAAATATCGCACTGCGAGGTGTCCTTAGCCGTTTCTGCGCCTGTTTGCCCCGCAATCCTGCCAAAACTACGAATCTGATCTAAATCGGACGCGATGTGAAACGTCTGTGACGTCATAACAATGCCTCGTTTGGAATTTGAGCGAAAATATTCTATGGCCCAGAGCATTAGGATACGCTGCTAATGCAGCGAATAAATTCGTTGAAGCTCATCATCGATATGTGAAGATAAAACTTACGAGATGAAAAGTAGCAGCCCTATGGACGCGAAACAGTAGATTCCATAAAGATAATAAACATGTAACACAAATGCTGTGTCCAGGGCTGGGAATGGTTAACGGTTACGATTTATTTTAACCGTTAACTGACATCTTAGGTACAAATCATCTTCATACCGCACGATTTCTTCAAATATGATTACGTTATCGCGAATTTATCTCTTATGGCATTTAATTCAAAAGAATATTACTAACTGTATGGGCAAGGACTCAATAAATATGGAAGTACCAAGATTGCTGATTATGGAAATTTGACAATGATGAATTCAGAATCAGTTTTCGGTCGATCTCGAAATATATTATTCACGATTTCATTGCAAAATCGGATATTCAATGTCATACCACAAGTTCGCAGTTGATGCCGTTTTTATTTATATGATATACATCTCGAAGTAAAATTTGCACATCGAACACCGATAATTTGTCACATAAATGACGTTTAACAAGGAAATCAGGTTTTCTAAAATACTTTCACACGCCCGAACCACGCTGCCTATCTATTGCAGCAGAGCAATCATGAAACTATCTCGATTCGTGAATAATTTTAATAAGCGATACCGGGGACGAGGACACGCGAAATTGATTTATAAGCATCGTGACGTAACAAGCTGAAATTATTACGCCAAACGTCACGCATCGGTTAACCGGTTAAAGTGTTTTCCCCGAAATTCCCAGCCCTAGCTGTGTCCCGATTGCGCATGTATTTCCAAGCCCTTCATCAGTGAATTTTTTTTTGGTAAATGTACGTATTTATGAAAATAGTAGCTGGACTGACCTGTGTGAATTGTAGGACAGTTTTATAGGGCGATAAGGGCTCGCCCTGTGTTATCCCTTTTCAAAACAAAAAAAAAATTTTTTTTTGAATTTTTTTTTTTTGAGGTCTGTCCACCCCACCCCCATTTTTGGGCACTGGACCACTTGGCCATAGATGTACCAGCGTTGCCCGTCATCATGCCTTTTTCAAATATTGTGTTCTCAAGAATTTGTGTTTTAGTCCTTTTTCGATAATAAAAACCTTGCTACCTCTTAGTGGCGCACTGGTTCGACCACCCTGGACTGGGCCAGTGGTATATAAGCCCTGGGCAGGGCCGGAAAAAGGTATTGGAGTATTTGGTTGTATTAAGGTATAACTAAATTGTGGCATTGCCAGCCCGCTCCAATTCTTGGTGTACTGGGAGTGGCCTCTCCTTTTTGGAATTTCTTTGAGGCCACCCCGGCGTTTCTTTAACGATTTTTTTTTAATAAATCGTTATCGTTGCAGTTTTAGTCTTGCTTTTTGTCTTAAATAATAGTTGTTCAACTTGTATCCGGATTTGTATCCTGCACTACCTTAAATAGGAGCATAATTGTATAATATAGTCAACTTAATATTTTTTCTATAGTATTATCTCCTTGTTCGATCATCTGGTTGCTAAAATTGTTTCTTTGTTATCTTTATGTCTGCCAGGACACACTTCAGTTCAGTTCTGATTCAGTTCAGAGTGTTCCTGGCAGTCAGAACATAGTCGTCATGACCACCCAGGGTTCAACAGCAACGGCAAAGCCGCTTTTTTCTAGCGTAGCGGCGTCGTTACCCAGGGTAGCCAGTGTCAAAGGTGTGGAGATCTCTCGCAGCGAGTCGGTTGATGTCGTTACATCACAGGACATATCAACCGTCTCTGCCTTTTACGAGCTTTTCTCCACCGTTGCCAAGTTACGTCCTTTCAAATCTCTAGTGGAGGGTATTTTTCCCATCCGTCAGGGCTTATGGAACATTACATTCCAGCCCACGGATGGTGGGTCAACGCGAGATAACTTTTTAAATAGCGTTGATAATAGCTTGGACACTCCTCTTGGTAATCTAAAATTTGGTCTACCCCGTGGCCCCGGCACACGCATCAGTGTTCGGAGTATACCAACTGAAGCCACGTCCGAGCAGATCAAATCAATGCTCAATTCCCTTAATTTTGGTTCAGTTAGGCGGGTATTTAAGATCAACCTAAAAAACACCCGGGTGTACAACGGTTATGTGCAAGCCATCGTTGATGACTTCGAGATCTCCCGATTTCCAGATTTCATCAACGTTGGTGGAATGCGTTGTAAAACGTATCTTCCTCCAGACCTGTACGTTAAATCCTGCCTGAACTGTTTCCAATCTGGGCATTTGGCCCGAGATTGTGTTCAGCCACCATCCTGTCGTCGTTGCAAGAAGTCGGGACATATTCAGCGAGAGTGTCCGGAATTTCCAGCTCTACCACCTGCTGAGAAACCAGTTAGCGATGCAACACCTCGCAAAACCTCTCCTGATGTACCCGTAACGAAGCCTGTAGCAAATGTTGTTGATCCTCCAGTCAGCTCTTTTGCTGAAACGGCTCCAATGACGCCATCGCGATACAGCTTTACCAAAGTATCATCGGTGGCTGTTTCGTCGCATGGACAGCTGAAAAAGAAAAATAATATTAGTAAGGATAAACCTACTGCTAACCAGTCTGGTACTCTCAGTCGGGATAAGGTGGATATACACCCTATCCCGGCTGAAGTTCGGGAGATCTATGATTCTTTGGAATCGAAATCTCCAAACTTGAGTAATAAATCAGAAGCAGTTACGAATGAAGAAAAGAAGAATTTGGAAAGTAACCCGGAAAACCCTGAGGAGAATGAAGAAAAAATCGTCGAGTTGGATAGCCCTCTGAGAGAAGACTATCATAATATAGCCAGACTCTCAGAGGGCTCGGATGAGGAACTAGCGAAGTTTCGGAAGAAACTCCGCAGTCATAAGAAGGCAAAGGACCCGGGTCCAGAATGGCAATGTTCGGATATTGAAGGTAGTCCTGCTTCAAGGGACGAGAAAAGAAGTCGGGGAAGTTCATCTTCAGAAGCTTCAATAACCCTCCCACCTAGTAAATCCCGGATTTTCTCCAAATTACGCATTGTTAAAAAACTTTAAAATAAACATCTGATTAGTTTCAATCTCTAACTATTTCATTATTTTCGTCTCTATGGTCAGTTGGAAGGTATGCCTGTTGGGCATTTTTGGCAGTATCTTCACATAATCATTTTTATAATTCAATATCAATTACTGAGTATTCTTCTTCAGTATATTTATAAGGTTAATATTCTCCAAACAATACTTTTCTTTTTCACTAGATACCACTTTGTGACTAGGTTTTAAATTCAGGGAGGCCGAGGCCGCTGCAAAGGTTATAAAAAAAAAACAGTGGGAAGGACTGGTTTTTGGATATATAGTGCCCATCAACGGCCTAAACCACAAAATAATTTCATCGGTATAAAAAATAATATTTAAACGCCGGTATAACCATCTATAATCTCCCCGAGACAACTGTTTGATTCGCAACTATTAGCACTAAAACTGCATGTATATATTAAATGAAACAACTTGCAATACATAATTTACTCATTAACATAGTAAATTATAAAAGCAAGACAAATAACACTAATTAACGCCAAATACACCAAGAATATGGCAACTTTTGGATTAGTAAAATTTATTTTCTCTCTACTTTTTGGTTAGTTTTTATTCTCTATATTCTTCTATAGGTCTATCCATCTTTCTTTCTAATCTTTCACTTCGTCATCTTGACATTTTCCTGCTTCTTCTCTCCTTACCTGGCCAAGACAAAATACTCGTCGCTGGAAGGCTTAATGAGTGTGCATCAAGGTGCATTTCTCCGAGTCTTCCTAGTGACGGGAATGTTTTGTTGAGGCCGGGACATCTGTTAACTCTTTATTTTGTTTTATAGAAAAAGGAAATAACATCTACAAGCCTCCCCTGCAACACGTGAGTATAGTACAACTAAATTATGGCATTGCCAGCCCGCTCCAATTCTTGGTGTATTGGGAGTGGCCTCTCCTTCTTGGGATTTCTTGAGGCCCTCCCGGCGTTTCCGTAGCGTATCTTTCATAGATCGTTACCGCTGTTGTTTTTGTCCTCACTTTGTGTTGTATTGGTTGACTTCTATAGTCTTGGGATTTTATTGCTTCTGAACTACCATAAATGGTAGTTTAAACAGGTAGTTCTTTTCGTATAATAACTTCCTCTTGTAACAGCAAATAGTTTTCTTCAAAGCCTCTCGTCACTGACTCGCGTCAGAGTTGTTTTCATCGGCAGACAGTTTCCTGTTGTAACATCCGCCATGACTACGACACAGTCTTCAACATCCAGGCCTCTTTTCTCAAGCGTCGCTGCCTCACCTCCAAAGGTAGTCAACGTGAGATGTGTTGAAGTCAGCAGAGGCGAGTCGATCGATGTCATGACAACATTAGACATCTCGACCGTTTCGGAATTTTTTGATTTATTTAACACCGTGGAAAAACTACGTCCTTATAAAACCCTAGTCGGGGGAATTTTTCCAATCCGCCAGGGTGTTTGGAATTTGTCTTTTCAACCCACCGACGGACGACCGACACGGGATAAATTTCTTTTAGGTGTTGATGATAAACTTGACACCCCATTAGGTGTGATAAACTTTTTCTTGCCTCGTGGTCCTGGGACTCGCATTAGCGTGCGTGGTATTCCCACCGAAGCCACAATCGAGCAAATAACAACACTGCTCAACTCTCTGGACTGTGGCAAGGTTAGGCGTGTGTTTAAAATATACCTACGTAACACCAAGGTGTATAAGGGCTACGTACAAGCCATCATTGACGACTTCGAGAAATCTAATTTTCCCGACTTCGTCAGTGTTGGTGGACTGCGTTGCAAAACATACCTACCTCCGGAACTCTATACCAAAACCTGCTTGAATTGCTTTCAAGCAGGTCATCTGGCCAGAGAATGTATGATGCCCCCGTCCTGCCTTCTTCGCAAAAAATCCGGCCATGTGCAGCGAGAGTGCACTGACTTCCCTGCAATAACACCTGCAGTGGAACGAAGTAGCAAGCCTCAACTCCAGGTCAACGCTCCTGCCAAGGTTGCTGCAAAGACGACAGGTAGATACAGCTTCACCAATATACCATCTGTAGCTGTATCTTCACAGGATCAGCTGAAAAAGCAAAAGAATTATAATAAAATAAAGGAAAAACTTGCTGCGGCTGATAACTCCAAGTCTCCCAGTCGGGTTAAGGTGGATATACACCCTATTCCGGCTGAAGATCATGATATCTCAGATTCTTTAGAATCTGAAAAACCGAACCTGGAAAATGAATCAGATGCAGTTGTAGGATGTAGTAAAATAAATAATCTAGGTAGGAACTCGGAAGATCTTGATGAAGACTGTGAAAAAATTGTAGAACTGGATAGCCCACTAGGAGAAGACTATCATAACATAGTCAGACTCTCAGAGGGTTCGGATGAAGAACTTGCGATGTTTCGAAAGAAACTTCGCAGTCACACGAAGACCAATGAACCGGGTCCAGAATGGCAGTGTTCCGAAATCAAATGCAGTCCTGTTAAGAGAGACGAAAAAAGAGGTCGGGGGAGCTCTTCATCGGACGCCTCAATTGTTCTCCCACCTAATAAATCCCGGATTTTTTCCAAATTGCGAGTTGCTAAAAAATTATAAAAATAATTATTTGATTGGCTTCAATTTCTTTTCCTACAGTGGATTGGATAATAAATATGACAGGCACTTATTTGTGACAGTATTTTGTGCCCGAAATGTATAGGACCATTTATATTATCATTTGCAATAATTTAACATCAACTACGGAATACTTTCCCATTTTCCGAACTAGTATTTTTTTTCTCATTCTCTCTCTATTATCTCGTAACTATGGATCAATATGAAAGATGCCAAGGCAGCAGCAAGTGCCAATAAAATAAAAAATGGTGGAAAGAAGAACTGGGATCATTTAGCGCCCATTTACAGCTTAAACCTAAAACAACTACATTGCTGTAGTAGATAACAACTAAATACCTTCATAACGATCTATACTCAATATACTATATTCTCAACCATAGGCACTAAATCTGCCTATAATAAATATAACAACTTATATTTGTAGAAATATACTAGAACAAATAGCTAAAAAAAACGCCATATACACCAGAATACTGGCTCTCTTATAATTTTGGTGAAGGTTTTTTCGTTTATCTTTTATACCTAATTTTTTCTTTTTTGTGGTTTTTTTTTAACTTCTTTGTTCTTTCCTTAAACTGCCTCTCTGCCTTTTTTCTTCTATACCTCCTGAATTTCTTTTCTACTAGAGGAGACGGACATCACGTGACAGGGGGAGTTGATATGAGTGTGCACCAAGGTGCATTCCTCCCAACTCTTTCCTGTCACGGAAGTGTTCGTCGAATCTACCCTCTGTTTTCTCCCGGTGTCATTATTTTGTCGTATTTACAGGTAACAACATCTACAAGCCTCCCCTGCAATACGTAAGTATAAAAACAAGGTGAGTATCGGTGGGTCGAGGCCTACTTTTTAAAAAAAAAAGTAAGTTTCTGAGCCGTGGCTCAAATTTATGGCTAGGACAGTAGTGGGGTGGTCGGGACTCGCCCTGCGATATGTCAATTTACAAAAAAAAAAATTTTTTTTTTCAAGTCTGTCTGTCCACTCTTCCTCTCCCAATTTCGGGCATTTGACACGTCCCGTCCGCATGGTCATGATAGATGAACCACCGCCCACCATCATGCTTTTCTGAAATATCGCACTGTGAGGTGTCCTTAGCCGTCTCTGCGCCTGTTTGCCCCGCAATCCTGCCAAAACTACGAATCTGATCTAAATCGGACGCGATGTGATCTTTTGGAATTTGAGCGAAAATATTCTATGGCCCAGAGCATTAGGCCAAATACGCTGCTAATACAGCGAATAAATTCGTTGAAGCTCATCATTGATATGTGAAGATAACATCTATAGACATCTTAAGACAAAAAGCAAGACTAAAACTGCAACGATAACGATTTATTAAAAAACAAATCGTTAAAGAAACGCCGGGGTGGCCTCAAAGAAAATACAAGAAGGAGAGGCCACTCCCATTACACCGAGAATTGGAGCAGGTCGGCAAGGCCACAATTTAGTTATACTTTTTTTTTTTTTTTTAAATTGGGTTTCAACCCAACGATACTTACCTTTTTTATTTTTTATACTTACGTTCTTTTCAGGGGAGGCTGGTAGATCTTTTTTCCTGTAGATACCTGTAAGCAGGCAAAATAAAAACACCAGAAGAGAACAGATGTTTAGATTCGACGAACATTTACGTGACAGAAGAGAGTTAGGAGAAATGCACCTTGATGCACACTCATATAAACTCTCCCTGTCACGTGATGCTCGTCTCCTCTAGAAAATATGAGAATGAGAAAGAGTGAGTAAGAAGTGATAGAGAGAAAGAAGAGGTAAGAGGTTAAGAAGGAAGAAAGTTATATTAAGATAAAAATAATGATTATAAGAAGTAAACAAAAAAAAAAAAATACCTGTACCAAAAAAAAAAGAGGCCAGTAATCTCGATGTATTTGGCGTTTATAAAATGTTTAACTTGCTATTATAATGTTATATTAGTTTACTTTTACTATTATTACAGAGAACATAATGTCCATCTATTAGTTATGATAATGAAAGAGAAGAGCAAATGCTACTATTATGTTAAAACATATTATTTCATTATCATTACAAAGAACTTAATGTTACTTTTATAAATGTAATAAATGTAATAATAGACAAGTAACACATATATTGTATAAATAGTTATTTCTGGAAGAAAAAAAATGTCATAGGAGATTATAAATGTCTTGAAACATGAGAACTTCAATTATTAAATGTTGTATCCGGATAGAATCTCCTTCCAATTTGGAAGCAACTCATATATATTGGTATCGCCATACTTTGTCTCACGCTCCAAGAGATTTTGATAAAAATTCCCTATAACTGATTTTATTATCTTATTTACATCGTTTGTTCTGACACATCGGTCTTCTTTATCAAGAACCTTTTTCAAGTTGATTATCTGGACTTTGAAGATCTGAAAGATCTTTAAAACCGATAAAGCACAATTAATATTATAAGTGTTATATAGGATTTCTCCCATATGAACACTTATTGCATTTGAACTAACTTGATTTAAGAAATTTAGGATTCTCGATGACATGTCAAGACAAACGATGCATTCCAAGAAAATATGCTGGGCAGTATCCAGCCCGGCGTTGCAAAACTTGCAATTTAGCTTCAGCAGACGGTTATTAAATTTATCATATTTAAACCCCGTCTGCTTCCGCCGTTGTCCAAATAAAAAACCGCTCCGCGCAACCCTAAATGAAATCTCTCGTTCGTGGTTATTGAAATGTTTTTTAAGATGTCGACTGAGAAGATGTACACGTTCCCAGTCGACATCAGTTGGAGGATGTTCTGTACGTTCCCCAAGGAGCTTGCGATAGATATTACGCAAGTTGGAGGATCCCCATTCATCGATCGAAAAGGACAGTCTTTGAAAAAGATTGAGCCTAATTGACCAGGATTCAGGAAGACACGAGGCGTGCGGCATGGAATTATTAAACAAAGATGGATTGATTACTTTTATTCTGCTTCCCAGGCTGTACTGGGCCTCTCTATGCCAGAATTGACTGGGATTAGTTAGAGAGACCAGATGTTTTAGTTTTTCAGCCTGACAAGCAGCAATTTTAGTCTTGAGACTAACCACGCCCATCCCGCCTTTATTCATGTCATCCTGCAGAATCCTCCTGCTTATTATCTCCATGGGTTCCGAAGACCAAAGAAAGGAAAAAATGGACCTCTCTATTGCCTGTACAGTTTGAGTCGGTATTGCTACCGATCTCGCATTGAACAGGACCTGGGACAGGATTAATGAGTTAATTATAGTTATCTTACCGTACCAGGAAAGAGATCTAGTTTTACTAAAATTTATTATTTTATTAATTTTAATTATTTTTTCTTGCCAAGTTTTGGTTTCTTGGTCTTTACCAAAGTAAGTACCTAAAATTTTGACCGAATCCTTTGCAAACCGATTATGGACCGAGAAAGATAGTAAGTCTCTGGCCCGTTTATTGGTGCAAAGGATTTCTGTCTTATCCATATTAATTGCTTGTCCTGTAGAAGAACGAAAAATATCCAATTCTTCAAATATAGAATCCACCGAGTATGCATCAGACACAACAAAAGTTGCATCGTCCGCATACTGGTCCATTTTATGCTCGAATTTTCCAATCTTTATTCCTTTGATTAAATTATTAGATAATATTCTTCGGCTCAGGGGCTCCACATTGATGGTGTACAGGAGCATACTCAGGGGACATCCTTGACGAATGCCCCTGAGTATGTTAATCTCCTTTGTGAAGGCCCCATTCACCTCAACAACACTAGTAATATTATGATACATAGATTTGATTAATCTCAAGGCGCTCTCACCTATTTTAATTCTCTCGAGGAGAGATAACAGGTAATGATGATTAACCATATCGAACGCCTTGAGATTATCTATGCAAATTATATAACAAGGTATGTTCTTAATCCTTGAATAATTAATTACACTATTGATATTGTAATGTATATCGAAGATACTCCGCCCAGGAATAGTGCATTTCTGCGAGCTATTTATTATATTTGATATGGGTCCTATAAGGCGTCTGGTAATGAGTTTTGCAATGATCTTATAGTCGACGTTCAGATTTGAGATCGGACGCCAATTTCTCAAATCTGAAGCGTCGGCTTTCTTATAAATTAAACGAACGCGCGATTTTTTAAAGGAATCTGGCAATATTCCAGATAACAAAATATTATTAATTAAAATTATGAATTGGTTTTTAATTATGGGCCAGAACGCGATATAAAATTCTTTGGAGAAGCCGTCAAGACCTGGCGACTTCCCATTGTCCATATCTTTTATAATGCTAAGAACTTCTTCTTCATCACTAAATTCCGATATGTGATCTACATCTTCCTGAGACAGAGATGTATTATTAATTGTGTCCAGATACTCTTTTTGGGTCACTGCATCAATATCTGACACAGTTCCCCAAAGGTTAGTGTAAAAATTTTCGACTACATCCAATATTTCTTTAGGGTTTTCTTTTAGAATTCCGGATTCATCTTTTAGTTTTGAAATTGAGGTTTCGGCTTCTCTTTTTTTGATCTTCTGAAAAAATATTTTAGATGGTCTTTCGCCGATCTCCGTTTCCTCAATTTTCGCTTTTAATTTGATGTAGTCTAATTTAATATTTTGATGAAGAAGAAGTTCTTGGCGGAGTTTAATAATCTTCTGGTTGTCAATGCCCTCTTTTACCAGATGGTCCAAGTGTTTCTTTTTCATTCTGATATCATTTGCTTTTTGAATGGAATCCGCAATTGATGTTTTACGGAGGCTATATTTTACAAAGTCCCACCATTTCTGGATATGGGAGAATTCATCCATTTGAAGAACTAGATCGTTATATGTTTGTTTTATTATAGTTATATAGTTTACATCACCATATATGCTGATGTTATTTTTCCAGGCACCCTTGCCCCACCTTATCTTCATGGAAGATCTTAATTCAAGGACTGGGACAAGGGTGTGGTCAGAAACGGTGTTAATTATATGGTGGATATTTTTGACACTAGTCACGAGGTTTTCAGAGACATAAATTCTGTCTATCCTGCGTGACTGTGTCCCAATCTTACAAGTGTAAAACTGGCCGGCAGGATATTTATACCGGTAAATATCCACCATACTTGAAGCATGCAAGGTGGAGGCTAATATTTTCTCTGCCCTAGACAGCTTAAAATGATGTTTATTGAGAACATCACGCTCATCCAGGACAGAGTCAAAATCGCCGGCTAATATTAAATATAACAATGGATCCAGGGTCTGGATCACACTGCACATCTTTTCAATGAAATCTGTCTGGACGTTCCCCCTGACAGAAGGAACATACGCATTTATAATGCAGTAGTTGTTATTATCAAAAGAAAAATCCATTCTGTCAAGCCGGTAGGGAATTAAATTATTATATATAACATCTACAAAAGAGACATTATTATTGATTTAAAACCCAGTTCCAGACCTGAAATATTTTGAAGATGTTTCTTCATGAGAGATTGTGTTGAGATGTGCAGTGTAACCCAGATCGTTGGCCCAAGTTACAATGATATTATAGTTGCAACGATGAACTTGTTGCAGAGCAATAATATCAGGTCTCTGACTCTGGAGCCAGAGATTCAGCTTGAGCTTATTAGTACTTAGCCCGTTGATGTTAAGCGTGGCTATGCTTAAAGAATCCATTGCGTGAATGGCGAGTGAAAAGTACCAAGTTAAATACTATATTAACATTATACAGATTACTATAGTGTGGTTAAAGTTATGACAACCAAGTATAGTATTAGTATTAAAACTGGTAGAAAATACTACCAATAATAGAAGACCAAAAACGGATGTTTCTTCTCCCAAAATATTATAGGGATTAAGATAGAAGAAATTGAGGAATTGGGAATAATTGTACTATTTTTTT